GAAGTTAGCGTTTTTTGGCTGACGTTTATTAGGTTGCTATTTATTATTAGTCAAAGATTTCTTTTCATGTTTGGGAAGTAGTCACCATCCATCATCTCAGTTAGATATGGATTTCGAGAAAACGTGGCTTCAGTGTCCGAAATTTATGTTAAACATCGATAAGTCTAAAAAGTATTTTTAGCTGTTTTCTCTAAATGATGTTATTTATTAATTAACATTCCTTCTGTCGGTTATATTGATTATTATAAACTAACAACTAAAGTCATCATCATGACGTGTATTTGACTTTTTTGACATATTAATAGACTTAAGTTTTTGACATAATAGATTTACAAAAGGTTGCTTCTGATTTATTTTACATCTAAATTAACAGTTGTGCTAAAATTTTGTCTCTCTAGTCTTAAAAAAAAAACAAGAGTTTGTCTCTGTAATTGATTTCTTTTAGGATACCAAAGGAAGGTGAAAAAAATATTTTAATAACCTCAGCTTTGCCTTACGTAAATAACGTTCCACATTTGGGAAATATAGTTGGCTGTGTTTTGAGTGCAGATGCATTCGCAAGGTAAGATGGTTTTGATAATGGATAAATTAATTTTTTTTCAATGGTAAGATTGTTTAACCAATTATTTCTGCTGTGTTTGCTTAAGGACGAAGTTCCAGATTTGATGGTCCGTCGGATTTATGAATCATCAGATTATTATTGCTAAATTATCTTTCGTGAGATTACTCATTTCAAATTCGTCCATTATTGCTTATTCTCCTTGAATAAAGTACTGTTGTCAAAAAATCGAATTTTCAGGTGAAAAAGGTTAAAATTGTTTTCAGGTATTGTTGTCTCAAAGGCTGGCATTCCTTATTCATATGTGGCACAGATGAATATGGAACTGCTACAGAAACTAGGGCTTTGCAGGAAGGCGTAACACCTCAAGAAATTTGTGATAGATATCATGCAATTCACGCCAAAATTTACAAGTGGTTTAATATTGATTTCGATCATTTTGGCCGAACAACCACGCAGCATCAAACAGAGTACGAGTTTTGCTCAGTGTAGAATTTCGAATTATTACTTTTCTCAATTTTTAATTTAGTGTTATTTTATTTAAAGTATTTTTGGATTCAGCAAGCTGAGATCAAAATATATTGGAAGTATAATGGTAGTAAATTTGCGAATCTGTCATAAATTTTTCTTAAAACCATTAAATCTATGTGTGTTAAAAGTATCTAGCATTTCAGTCTTTAGAAAATGTAAAAGAGTATTCTGATGCTCAGGATAAGCTTATGAAAAATGTTGCATTGTGTCGAACATTTGAAAATGGGATTTATTTTCAGGCTGACACAAGAAATTTTTTTAAAGCTTCATAAAAATGGCTTTACTTCTATCGATTCTATTGATCAATTACATTGTGATAGTTGCAGTAGGTGAGATTTTTTATTCAAAAAAGGTAAATTATCCTAAATCCATTTAAGTTGTCTCGCACACAGCTCTGTGATTGTACATTCAAAAGATTTTTTAATAATATGAATAAAAGTCTGATTTATAGTTGTAGTAAGTTCATTTTTTCGAAATAAATTCTCAAAAACTAATTCAAATCCAGATTATTTTATTCTCTTCGATGCTCATTTCCTTACTCTGTTGTGTAATATTCAAATGTATGACTGCTAAATAAAATTATTTACTTTGTCATGACGTGAAATCGTCAATGTGCTTTAAATTTCTGTAAATCACTATTGATGCAGGATTTCATGATAATCTTAATCTTTTGTTAGGTTCTTGGCTGACCGTTTTGTTCATGGAGAATGTCCATTTTGTCATTATGATGATGCGCGAGGAGATCAGTGTGATGGATGTGGCAAGTTAATAAATGCTGTAGAATTGATAAATCCGCAGTGTAGTTTATGTAAAGCTACCCCTGAAATCCGATCATCAAGTCATATTTTTCTTCATCTAGATAAGCTCTCAGTAAGTTTCAAATTCATTCCTTTTTCAAAAATGTATTTGAGAAACTTAAATATTTTTTGGTATTAAAGTTGTCATTGCAAATAAGAACAAGTTTTACTTCAGGATGATGTTGAAAAGCATGTGAATGAACAGTTAAATGTAAGGAAAAATCAGTGGTCAGCAAATGCTGTATCAATCGCAAGAAGTTGGTTGAAACTTGGATTGGAAAAGCGATGCATTACTCGGGATTTGAAATGGGGTGTTCCTGTGCCTCTTGATGCTTTTTCTCATAAGGTATATTATTTTTAGTCTTAAAAAAAGAATGCTAATCTCTCCTTTCTTTTTTCTCGTTAAACTATGAATTAAAATTACAGTTGTATTGCTAGTTTTCAAAGCATAATTTCTCATACCAATTTTTACAGGACATGGAAGTTATATGTTGTTAATTCATGTTTTTTAAGTGCCCATCGTGTCTTACTTTGAGTATCACATTAAAAATAATTTTCAAATAACTCTAAAATTTTTTTTTAACTGATTGCAAAGTTTCAGGTTTTTTACGTTTGGTTTGATGCTCCCATTGGTTATTTATCTATAACCAAAGAATATTTAGGAGATGAATGGTCAAAATGGTGGAAAAATCCGGACAATGTTGAACTGTATAATTTTGTTGGAAAAGTATGTATTTTATCGAAATGAGTAGGAATTTTACTTTCAGAAATGCAGCGGCGTTGTCAGTCGTTGTCGGATTCTTTTTTTTTACGTTGGATTTTTATAAATAGTGCTTTGGAGTACTGTAATTACTCGCTAATATTCATTTCCGTTTTTAAATTTGAGTTCTTTTGTTTTTCGTGCTTGAGTCTTTTTTCAAGGATAACGTTGCTTTCCATGCTGTTATGTTTCCCGCCACTCAAATTGGTACAGGAGATAATTATACGCTGGTTAATCGTCTGTGCGCAACAGAATATCTTAATTATGAAAATACGAAGTTTAGCAAGTATAACTGTTCATATTATTTCTCTTTTGCGTCCTGTAACGATTTTTCAATTGAGATTATAGGCACTAGTCAACCGCTGAAACTGAAGACTATTTCTCAATCCTTCGTGGTTTTCTCAGGGAGACGTGTAGAAATCAGTTCACTTGTAAATGTGATCGCTTTTAGTGTATGTGTGGTAGGATATTTTAATAATTGTCAGCTGAAAATTAAAACTATGTTACTTTTTAGGTCACGAAATACTGGTGTCTTTGGTGATATGGCCGCTGATACAGGTATTGATGCAGATATCTGGCGATTTTATTTGCTGTACGTCCGCCCTGAAACACAGGATACATCTTTTTCTTGGGATGATTTTGCTTTAAAGGTGTGAAATTTTGAATTATGACTCGTATCTTAAAAATATATACAGCTCTGTCTGCATATGACTAATAATATGAACATTTATGGTAAAATAAAATCATCAATTTCTAGATTTAAAAGGATCATTCAAAAAATTTAGTAACACAGATAATTTAAGGTCAATACAGAGCTTTTGAACAATTTGGGTAATTTCGTAAATCGTGCATTGACGTTCCTTAGTAAGTATTTCAAAGGAGTAGTACCAAATATGCATATCGAACAACAGGACAAAATTTTATTAGCTGAAGTTGCTTCTGATTTAAATGATTATGATTCGAATTTGAGTTTGGTAAAACTTCGTGAGGGCATTATTAAAGTCCTTTCTGTATCAAGGCATGGTAATTTGTATATGCAGTCAACTCAACCGTGGGTTCTACTCAAAGGAGATGAAAATGACAGGTTTTGTTTATATCTTTATTGTTGCATATTCCAAATTATCTGATTGAATTTAAGTTACTTTATTAGTGTAAGCTGTGTAAATTGTGCAGTGTTAGATATCAAAATCGTGGTTTATGGACAAGAAGTAAAAATTTTCTCTCTCAAGATATCGTATGGTAGTGAATTAGATTTGACTTCATATAAATGGTTTTAAGGAAACGGGCAGGCACCATTATTGGTGTAGCAGCAAATTTGGCTTATTTAATTGCTGTCATGCTCCATCCGTATATGCCATCCACTAGTGCAAAGATACGAGATTATTGTGGCCTTCCAGCTCTTGCTTTTTTACCTAATACACCTTTAGCATTCTTGAAACCTGGACATAAAATTAATGAGGTAAATTTGATGCAAGAATATTATTTAACTCACATGCTTACAGTTTTAAATCATACCATATCTACTGAACCTACTAATTAAATAACAGCTACACCTGTTATTTAATTAGTAGGTTCAGTAGATATGGTATGATTTAAAATTTCGTGATAATAATGACTTTTAAGTTGTAGAGTGTAACATAAATTTTATTCACCATTTTTCTATAAATAACGAGACAGTGATGCAGTTTTTTCTTTCGTGTTAGCAATTTGAGATAAACAGTATTAATTGTAAACAGTAGTATATGATGACATTCATCTTCTAGGCATCAAGAATGTTGAATTGATGAAGTTATAAGTGCTAATATTTACTTTTTTTCTAATAAAAAATTTCTACTCTGTTTACATAGGGTTGCAGTCGAAGACTAGGTGTAGGTGTAGAAAACGGTAAGCGAAGGTGGTTAGTTTAAGGTAGCAGTAAGTTCAGAATTTTTTTTTCATTTTCATTTGTTGACTGAAAAGTAGGATATGTCTTACTTTATTTTAGAAATTACGATTTCTGAAACATGCTTCTGTTACTTTACGAAATTCTCACTCTGTTTACTTTGTTTAATTATTTCTATATTTTTTAATGTTCTGTTAGCATAGAAATTCTTCAAAATTTAGAAGGATGGTGCTTGACAGTATTAGAAGCAAAATTTATCGGATATGATGGCGTTTGCATTGTTTAATTAATGGAAAACAAGAAAAAGTTTTAGATAATTTATTTATTCATAATACATTTACTACCTAAGTACCCTATATGACTATGTATGATGCAGTATGTCATATAAAAGTGAGAAGTAATCACAAATGATTTAGCTTCGCTGTATAGCTTTTTAAGTTTGAGATTTAAATAAGAAAGACTATGAAGTGGCAGAGGGTTAAATTAGAAATGTTTTAGTCATAAGCATTCTCATTTCTCTTTAAATGAATACGGTTAGAATGTGATAATACACAAAGCTAGTGCAATAAGTAGAAAACATGTAAACATTGAAATTAGCAAATGAAAATGAGTCATTTTTATTCTGTGATTTAATCAGAAATAAATAAAAAATAATATTCCATTTTAAGTGTAATGTACCATTGCATTAAAAAAACGAAAATTTTGCTTTTAGCCGAAACCGCTGTTTATGAAGATTGAGAAGAATGTGGTAGAGATATTTAAGAAAAGATTCAGTGGTAAAGACGATTATACACTTGTAAGTGGAGAAACTGAAGAAACAAATGGGAAGGGCAAGCAAGAAAAGCAAAGGGAGAAGAAGAAAGAAAAGGAAAGCAATAGGAACGAACAAATTGAAAAGAATGGCATAATCACAGGTTTTTTTGTTTTTACGTTGATTTATTAAAGTGTTTTTCGTAACAACTGGTAATAAGTACTGCCATTATTTGTTGGCAGTATTTATTACCGAGTAAAGAAGTTCTTTTCATATGCTACTGTTCTCTCATGTATTGTGGGCATGGAAGAGTTTTTTAATTTCATTAATTATATTGAAATATGTGATCTTTATTTGAGTTGAATTCATTAGTTATTCAGTAATGGGAAAATAGAAAATTATTATTCCTTGGTCATTCATTTGGGTTACATAGCTCTTCATTAATAATTCAGAGGCAAATGGTAGTGGTTAGTTTCAGATAGTCTGCAATGTTTTGGTTTTCATTTTCTTGTGTAAATTCGTTTTTGTTTACTCCGTTGATGTCTAATACCTTTTTTCGTTTCAGACATGTCAAATTCACTGAATACTGATCGAAATTTATTAGATAATAAACAACAAATCGATGCCCTGCTTAAACTTGCACAAATCAAGTTTGAAAAAAAAAGTATTCGTCAATTATATTTCATTATTTCTCCAATATTAGCATAAAATTTTAAGCATACTACATGGTAGTATTTTAGAAAAAGAATTCATAAAAGAAAAAATGGACGAGCAAGTGGCAGAAAGGGCACGATTAAATGACGAAATCGTACGTCTTAAAGCAAGGTTAATCGAATTAGAAACAATAAGAGGAAGTAAGTTTATCATTTAATAATAAAATTTGAAGTTGAATTTGCATATTAGTCAGGTAGCTGACTACTTTATTTAGAATGTCAAGCTGCATAGTTTAATAGAAAGCAAGCCAGTTCGTTTTTTTAGTGAGTGAGACTTTTACCGATGATTCAGTAAGAGGCATCGAAATGGACCATAGTTCAGATGTCATCTTCTGCATTATCATCTGTTAACATTCGTTATTAGTGATTGAAAACACATTCCTTCGTTATTAAGAAGTACTCAAAGCTTAGTATAAATAGCTAGTTCCAAGTTGCTGATAGCAACTTTGTCTGAGAATGCTTAACTTTTTAATTTTGTATTTGTACAGTTAAGTAAGCTAATAAAACTGAATTTCGCTATTATTGTAATATTTATGTTAAATTGGAGATCATAGTATTTTCTTTTGTATGAGACTTTGTTAACTGGAAAGAGTAGCTTTCACCAAGTTTTGTCTGATTTCTGAAAAAAAATCTGCCGGGATTTGCTTGATTTTCAGTAAAACAAGTCAGCAATATACCAAAATTCGAAAAGAAAAACTCAAATAATAAAGATGACGATAATGCACCACAAGTTATTGAAACACTAAACTCAAAACCAAGAAAAGGAAAAGAAATTAATGCGCAAAAAGAAGGCGAGAAAAAAAAAGATAAGATCCAAAAAAGGGAAAGTAATTTAGATGGAGGTATTCTTTTATACAATGAATTTTTCTATCAAATTTAAGCTGCAGCTTTTCTTGAATTGTGTTTCACATTGTCTCAAGATTAAGTCATGAAATGCTTGACTATTCTTAGTCTTGAAAAATAAAAAATGTTGATAGGTATTGAAAAAATATGTTCCATTTATATATTTTATTGATGTCTGGATATTAGCTTCGTTTTGTGAAGTAGTTTAAGTATCTATAGATTACTGGAATCTGTTGGATTAGTTTAATACTTGCTGGCAGTGACCTAAACACTGACTTGCCAAGTTTGGAATTAAAAAAAATAGTTTTAAAGATTTTCCATTGTTGAGAAAGCGAGGCAAATGATTTTTTTTGGTTTTTATGGTTTGGATCTTCCTTGTTTGAATTTCTTTTTAGATAGGTAATTTTTATCCATTTTGTAACTGTACAAATGCAGGGGCAAAAATGGATGATACAGTTGATATTGGTAGACTAGATATACGAGTCGGTCGAATTGTGAAGGTGGAAAAGCATCCAGACGCTGATAGTTTATATGTGGAACAAATAGATGTTGGAGAAGAAAAGTATCGTTCTGTTATTTCGGGTTTAGTAAAACATATTCCTATAGAACAAGTATGTTTATCCCTTATCACTTTCATTCTTCGATTCTGCTTTTTTAAGGACTGTTTGTTAAGAGAGTAAAGATTTCCATATTACAACTCATGTTTGAGAGCATCGGTTAAATAATTAAGCTTTATATCTGCTTTCCTTCTAGTTATATCTGAGAAGGATAATTTTATATGGTTGTAGATGCAAGACCGATTTGTAATATGTATTTGCAATTTGAAACCAGTGAAAATGCGCGGTATCGAGTCGCAAGGAATGGTTTTATGTGCTTCAACCCCCGAAAAAGTTGAGTTGATCGAATCTGATGCGTCTTGTACTCCCGGACAGATTGTGACTTGTGAAGGATACATACGAAGGCCTGATCCTGTTCTAAATCCAAAGAAAAAAATTTGGGAAGCCATTGCTCCTGATTTAAAAGTAAATGATAGCGGCCAGGTAGTTTACAAAGGTCAACATTTGTTAATTGATAGTCGCGTATCTTTATTGGCGCCTACATTACGTAACGTACCGGTAAAGTAATACTGTGTTAATATTGAGCTTTTTGATGAAGATCTTATTGAATTTAAACATTTCTTTAAAAAAGTGTTATAGTAATTCCAATCAAATGTGTACTAAATATTTACATCAATTTTTTTGCAAAGCATGTTGTCTTTGAGATGTTACTTTTGTGATTTATTATTGACTAATGATGCGTTGTAACTGTTAATAAACTGGTGTTTAATGTCAGTGTTTTGTCGATCAAATTTAGTAAAATTATCTTTACCAAATATTTGCTCATAATGCTTGAAAACTGGACAATTAAAATACTAATTGAAGTATTGCGAAGTATGAGCGTAATTAATGTAATTAAGGGAAGGTGAGTTACTGAAAAGAGATGAGGAAATTTTGTGTAGCGGTTGGAGGATATTGAAGTATATCACTTATGATTTATCAAGAGTATTTTATTAAGACTTGAGACAGCTAAGCCATTGGTTGAAAATCTGTTTTTACAAGTAAGGGGTGTTTAGTCCAGTAAATAACATGATGTAAGGATTAAGGTGAACATTTGTGCAAGGTCAGGATCTTTTTGCAGAGTGAGAGGTGCTACACCACAGTTTGGAATATATAGCTAGCAACATTTTTTCAGTTATCGTGATTGCAGTATGGTATCAAGAAGACTAAAAAGCAATAAAATCAGGAGTCTTAACAAGAAGAATGTTCCTGATGACCGTTTTGAAGTGGTCTTGAGTGATCCACGTTTTGACGCACTTCCACGTAGAGAAAGAAAAGTAGTGATCGATGAGAGGTAGTTTATATTAACTTTGCTGTTTGTAACTTCATTTTTGTGAAGTATCTTCCAATTTGTTTGAAAATAATCCTGTATAAGTTTTTGTATAAGGTTATTTGTTAATAAATTTTTGAGCTATTTATATTTGATTTTTTTAGAAAATTTTATTTGATCTATTTGTAATATTTTTTCTCCCCGAGAAAAAATTTAGAAATCAGGACTACAGAAGAAGATAGTCAGGAAACAAACTTTGGCGTTTCAGATTTAAGGATGTCCTGAAAAGTGAGAAGTTTTCGGCAAAAAGTAAGGTTGATATGCGTGGAAGATGTGTAGACTTCAAGCCAAAAAATACATTAAACGATCTATATGAATTGGCTAGTAGTGGTGATAGTTCGAGTGCTGAAGTGGATGAGGACGAAAAAATTAAAATTGATTTAGCTCGTGGCACTGGTAATGTAACGTCAAGTGATGAAGATTCATCTGACTGGGAACTTGAAGAAGTATCCGTTTTACATGGCAGTTTACAGTTTATCTGTATAAATATCTTGGATTGCAACTTACTACGACTTTTCCTTTCTAAATATTAGTATACATGTTATAAATATATTTATTTAGGTTGCTTGTAATGATTATTTATATAGTTTCGTTCTCCTAGTATTTGCAGCAAAAAATTGGTGTTAACTAAATTTTCACAACTGAAATCTTTCTAATATTCAAAGGCAATTTTGCTGTGCGTAAATCTAATTTCTGACAGAATTATTTAGATGCTATCAAATATCAAATATTATTTATAGCAAAATGAAGAACATAATTGGGGCGAACCTGATAAAGATGCTAATCGAGTTCAGTGGGCATCAAATCGTTTGGCATTATGTAATATGGAGTGGGATCGAATATCGGCTACCGATATTTATGTTTTGATGTCTTCTTTTAAGCCACCTGCACCAGCTAGTAAGTTTTTTTTTCACCTTTCCTCTGAATAGTAAAAATGTAATATTAAAATCCTGTTATCTATTGTTCCTTCTAGCTATTCGATCTGTGACGATATATGTGTCAAGTTTTGGTCAAAAACGTTTGGAAGAAGAAGAACGAAGTGGACCGAGATTGACGAAGTTGAAAAAAACGGTAGAAGATATTGATGACATCGATGAGTATGTTGTTCATTATATCTTTGAGAACGATAAATTCTTTAGCAATTAGTGGAATAGTAAGCTTCATTCTTTTTGTTCTGAGTTTCTGAGTTTAACAATTTTTTTACAATTATGATTATCAAACAAGTCATTTTCTTTCCTTGTGCTGTAGAGAAACTCGTGAATCAATGAGAGCATATCAGTTAGAAAGAATGAAATATTATTATGCGGTTATTGAGTGCGACGAAGTAAAAACAGCATCATGTATTTACGAGGCATGTGATGGTGTGGAGTTTGAAAGTAGTGCAATACGTCTAGACCTTCGTTTTGTTCCTGATGATATGACCTTTGAGGTATGATATATATTTTTTAATCTAGTTGATACAAAATTTAATCTCTCTGCAGTCGTTTAAAAACTGTATATGTAGTTTTTCTTTGACTTGTCTCTACTATTTTTGTGAACTGATAATGACCACTTCGGTTGCAGTTCGATTGAAGGTCTAGTCAAAGGACAAGTCATTAAGCACCTTTAATTAAAAAAGGTTATCGACGAAGCAGCTGATTTTGTAGTTTCTACATTTCTAGTTGTTATAGATTTTATCAACCGTTTATTTGAAAATGAATAATGAAAATCCGGTATTTTAAGGAAAATGTGATCAGAGAACAAATCACTGAAGATGATATTAATTTTAATACTTTCAAACCTAAAAATTTCGAAAGCGCAGCATTATCAAAATCATCTGCTAAACTGACATGGGATGAAACAGATCCAGAACGTATCAAAGCGACAAGAGATGCATTTCTTCCAGATGCAGATCTCAGTCAACTACAGTAAGTATTATTGAAAATAATGCAAAGTTGGGATTGTTCATTGTCTCACTGAATTCATATCTCTTATATATAATAACAGTCATGCTTGTATTAATCTCAGACTCTTTATATTTAAAGGCATTTATTAGCACCATGCTCATCAGATGAAGAAGATGAGGTCGGAAAAACTTCTCTATTACTCAAGGAAACAGAAGACAAAGATAATAAGTCTGATTCCGTGATGGAAGTAACATGGAATGTTGAAACGACGGAAGATGCTAATTCCAGTAAAAGAATTAAAAATTCTGCTGAGCAAACACCATGGCAGAAGTATTTGGAAAAGAGAAGATCGAAACGTAAAGTGGGTTATTTTTTCTTATCTGAATTAATTGCGTCCTTGTTGTGATTTAAGTGTATAGATGACGAAACTAATAAGTTTAATTGAAATATTGTAAAAGATTATCCGAATAACTGTTTTGTGTTAAAATGATTTAAATAGTGCGAGTATGACGAGTAAAATATTGTTCGGTTTAGGAACGAAAAGCTGTTATTGCGGAACTGAAAAAGAAACAAAAGGAGGAAATGGCTGATGTCACGGAAAAAAGTAATAATGTATCATTAGTGAAAGTGAAACACAGAAATGAACCTATAAATGAATCAGATTACATCGATGATGAAAGGTAATGGCAAAAGTTCTTTCTTAGTACATTTAACAATTTTATGAATCGGTTTGAAAATTTTCTGACCAGTTGCATTATGTTAGTTCAAGCTCTGAAATTTTAAATGACCATATATTTCATGGTCGTTCTCAAGCCTTTTTTCCGAAATTAATTTATAAATAATGGAATATGCTAAATGATTATCATTTTTGGGATGAGCAACTAAGTGAATAACCATTATCGCAGATAAATTTTTTATTTTTATGATATTTGCTTAAGGTTCAAAGCGTTATATAGCAGCAGTGCTTTCGCTATTGATCAGTCTCATCCTTTGTTCAAGTCATCAAAAATGGCATTAAGACAGGTTAGTTTTCGAATTTTCGAATTTATTGAAAAGCATAATTGTTGATCTTTAGGGATTATTATTAGATGATTATCAGAACGGTATATATTTAACATTGTTTTGATCATATATATTTAACAGTTTATTTGGTTTGTATTTAAATTGACCCGACATGCAGTTTTATTCATTAGAAGTAATACTTTGAATGACATATTAAAGAAGTAGTATGCTTAAGTATCTACATGCTCAATTCTCACATAAAGTATTAAACTTGATTATACTTTTAATTTGACGAACATTATTCTTTCACGTCTTCATATATTTGATATAAATCATGTGAAAATGTTAATTTCCTACCATTTTCTCTCACAAAATATAGTTCTTTCAATTTCTTTGATCTTCTTCTACAGTTTTCTAGAGTTCAGATGTATCCTCATCAATTTTATTTTGACAGATTCAAGTACAAGTTGAGTTTTTTTGTGAAATGGACGCAAAATTTAAGTTTCTGTGTATAGAAGATTACAATCAAAATTTGGTTGAAAAGAAATATTTTATTCTGCTGTTGCACTTTTGAATTTGTTATTTGCAGGCTGAAGAAAAGCAAAAAAGAAAGATTACCTATATGGCTGAGGATACGGTTGAAGTGTTGGCAAATAAATTAAGAAGAAAAGCAGAAAATGTTAATAAGTCAAAGAAAGTGCAATAACTCTTTCATATTTTTCTCATATTTCGATATAAAGAATTATCATTATATGCTACTTTTATGACATCACAATAACTTAGGTAAGTTGGGTTATGAAAAAAAGCATTATTACTTTCACTGGTACGATTTCATTGTTTGCGATGTGACTCTGACCAAGATTTCTTGATACAATATAGTGTCCATTTCTACTTTTTTTTACTTTTTAAGTTTTAAAAGTTGTCAGTTTCGAGTATATCATCATCTTTGCATTTTTTTAAGTGACCATGAGTTAATGTTATGTGTTTTGTGATGTAAAAAATATAAATGCAGTGCAGATTTTTTGAGGTGAATATTATGAATTACTTCATTTATATCTCGTAATTAATGCTTAAGAGGAAGGAAAACACCGAACACTCAATGATTTTAAAACTATTTGTGATATGTAAGTTTATTTTTTCAAGAATACTAAGCATTACTCTCGGCTTGTTTTTGGCAGCTTGAGGTACAGAGAATTTTTTTCATCAGTGGTAGAATGGTAAGAAGCGTTTCTATTTATTTTTTAGCGGCTGAAGTTAAATGCAAATTCTATTATAATAATAATGTGATGCAGGTGTAATTGGTAAATTTTTTACTAAGAACTGTCAGTTATTCCGAGAGGAGACTTTTGCTTTGCTTGTCCAAAAAGTGATTGGAGAATATTCAGGGGATGGAACCTGTTTATCAATTGACTAAATTCAGTCATTCAAATCGTGTAGAAGTTCTTTCATATCTAATTGAGAACAAAGCTATATTCATTCACGTAGTGCTTTCGAATTTTGAGTTGTTTTTTTAAACTCCTACTTGCAACGGTTCACTTTTGAAGCATGCTGGTACTGGAAGTGCTGAATGCATCAACATTTTTTTGTTTGTAGTTGCTTGGCTGTATTTACAACAGCAGTCGGATTTCTATGTTTGTGAAGAATTGTCTCCTAAGATAAACTTATTAGTACATTCATTATAACTTGACAAAGTGAAATGTATGAGTTCGGACTTTTTCCCTTTAACTGCAATTTTTTTAATTTTATATGCTAAAGCTACGATGAAGTGCAGTTTCCAAACCGAAATGAAAAATAGTTTGGGAAAGTGGAGGGTAAATTTTTATGCTCTGGGTTTTAGTTCGTGTCTTAAAATCCTATCTTGATGGTGTGCTACTTTCACTTTTGTTGTTAATCTGGTGGCACTTCCATTTGTTCGACAAATAATTTAAAAAATCATTTTCACGAAGTAGACTTTCGGTATTAATTAGAACTACAGGATTCCGAGAGCTCTGCAATGTAGCAAGTCCTAACTTATATTCTTTCAATTCTTTCAAACAAGTCTTAACTATATCAAGTCGTAATAAACTGACTAGCCCACTAAGTTAAATTCTAGTACAAACATGCAGTTTCATTTGATAGACTGACTTGTCAAGCACAGATTTCTTCCTCCTGCAATACACAAAGCCATATTTTTAGGAAGAACAATGAGTTAAAAATATAGTAAAGCCTTGCCTACTCTTTCGCCTAGATTGTTCAGAGTTCCTTTAGGCGTTCAGCTAAAAATTAAACTAAACGGACAGATTTATTTTCTCAGTGGGATTCATTAGCATGTCATTTCTACCAACTATACTCATTTTTAAATGAAAAAATCGCTATAAGACAGTCTAACTATACTCAGTACTTTTTATTTCAGAATTAAAAGAAAGACTGCTCAAATACGAATCTGAGTTTCATTATTTTTTAAACTTTCTGGAATGTCAGATATCTCATTTTGACCTGCATATTATCGCCTCTAAGAATGTCATTTGATCGCAGATTTTTAAAATTCTATTCTTCAGCATTTTTCGCAGTTCTTTCGCTTTTTAACTTTCAGTTAGAGAAAAAATTTGCCAAATTATTAAATAGATTGAGCGCTGCAATCATTTATTTTGACGAAAGAAAAAATAGGGTCAAAATTTTGGAAAAATTAGAATTTAATATAGTAGGAGGCTACAATTTAGACCAAAATTTGAACGCAAATGATGAAGTTTATGCGTGTTATTAATTTATAAACACTTTTATTCCATCAAGTTTCTTTACTTTATTGCTATTAATTGTCACGTGCTATATTCTCATATATTTTAAAACCTTAAAATGCAAACTTATTACCCTTCCTACTTAGTAAGTAATTTGTGTTCTTCCTTTTAAACCTTGATAAATTTTGAGATCAAGCAAATTATGCAACTTTTTAAAATAATTTTCCATCAATATTACATTTAAATTTAAATCTAAATCATTTTTGAGTAACAAGACTAATTATTCATCTTGTTCTTCAAATGCTCATTTGCAAATACTTGGGAGCTTTTAGATCATATCAAGCTATTTTTAGCTATGAAACTGATAGCTAAACAACTAACAATAAGTGCAAATAGCAACAATGGCATTTACAATTTGTAACACAAAGAATGTCTTCAAATCTTTTACATAATATGCTACTATAATATTTGAACGTTTGATATGAACTTTGTGTATTTAGTTGATATTTGCTCATTTTTACTTAATTATATAATTAATTTAAGCTCTGCTTCAATGGTTAGCAGAGAGAGCTAACATTCCGCTCTGTCAAGTCACAACCTCAGCTGGCTGTGTCTATTTACTTGCTATTTTGTTTGCATTCTAAAAATGCTTTTTGTTTTAGCAGCCATAAAAGTTCAAAAAAGCGAATGAACTAACGCACTGAGAAGCGAAAGCAAAAAGAAGACGAAATTCTGCTCAGTTTCTTTAGTTTAACTTCCTGAAAACTTTGTTGAATATATCAAATTTAGGCAGGAATAATTTTAACTTTGACTGGAAGAAATCTCTTACTTTTTGGTATTGCTAATGTTGCGAGTGCGCGAGTGCTGTGTGATTATTTAATTGTATTAATAAAAAGGTCAATGAAGCAGAAAACTTAACAATTCAAGGAGGGAGGGAGTTGAAAAGTGTATTTTAGTGAATTAATTCCTAGCAGTTATTTTTTTATAAATTATTGAATTCAAATATATAATTTAGAAAGAAGCTGACATTCACTTCATAATGAGATCTTCCGTCTCATCTGTTCACAGACATCACCTTTAGATTAGCTTTACCGATTCCAGATTATCCTAAGTCATAACGTACAAGTTGAGCTAACAAATTAATTATTTTGCATATTACTTATTTTAGAGTGTTGAGTGCTAAATTAAATCTCTGGATTGCTGCACGGTAAATCTAAGCCATTACATGCTTTCTCTTGGTATTAACAATGATATGATATTAACATCTGGGTACTCAATTTCTGACAAAATGTTAACTGCGAAATTTCAGCATATGGAAATGTTTGCTGTAATCAAAGTGATTGGATGGTGTAATTTTTATTTTATTAATTTCAATAAAATCTGTGGCACTAAAAATGTCTTATTAGCTTTTCAAACTTTGTTAGCTAGGATTATTTTTCTACTCTGAAGTGTTGAGTATCTTTGAATTTATTGAATCATAACAAATTATTTCAGCTATTTTCATATATATCACCAATTTTTTCGTACTGCAATTCGTTATCATAAATTTTACCAAAATTATATGAACAAAAACTTTGTACGTTGAATTTTTATAACATTTTGATTAATTAAAACTTATTTAATGAATAATTTTTTTGGAATTATAAATATTCTTTTCGTGAAACAGAATACAAATACTCCAGTATTTTGATTTTCACATTCCGGAAATTAGCTAATTTTTTATTCCACTTAAAATGATGACAAATTAACTCTTTTCTGGCAGATGAATGTTGCACTAGAAGTTTTTAAGCAAGCTTTATCATTTTCTCAAGTTGAGATTAAGCAAATCTGAAGCAGGGTTTATATAATAATTCTTAAACACTTCGTAGACCAAATTTTTTTTGAAAAAAAATTAATATTGGCTAGAAATGCAAAAAAATTTTCTTTTAATTGCATGTATATATTCAAATGCTGCAAATTGTTATTATGTATTTTTTATTGTTTAGTTAATTAATTAATTGAAAAATTAATTAATTAACTTTTGCTAGAAAATACAGCTTTTGACGTTGTGCTTAGTTATGTAGTGTTAAATAAACTTATTTACCGACTCTAGCATGCAATATTTTATGTTTTCGAGAAATTTGACAAAATATTTGCATGCTTTCTTATTGGATTAAATAAGTACCTCTACTTTATTTTGTTTCACTTTCACTCTATTTCTTTCCAACAAAAAACAAAACTTTTAAATCGTCAACAATATTTTCGAATTCAAAACTTTGAATGCTTATTTCACTTAGAACAATCCTTGCTAATAATTTTACTATAATTTATTAAATTCTCTATGAATTGTAAATAATCTATTTTTTTCAAAAATTTTTAAATCCAATAAAATCTCATACATTTTAGTGTGACATTGGGAAAAAATCATCTCAGCTCTTTTATATAATGATAAAAATTTGAATAAATTGTCTCTACAAAGCTTGTAATCATTAAGAAAGTAAGCACTTTGTATGTATATTTAGCTCCGAATACTCTGTTGGTAAATATTAGTAATTTGATGCATATTTGTGTGCATATATCATTTTTCATCATTTGAGAGTATTTTAGTGCATAAAGAAATTGTAAAAGTTTTTTGAACAATTCTACGCTTATTGTTTATTTTTATTTTACTTTAAACTTTCCATCTTTAAATTTTTGCAAATTAAAATGATATTTAATTCGTAGCTAACACGTGCTGTTTTGTTAGCCACAATAATCATTGAAAAATTGCTTGCACTAAACTAAATTACAATAAATGAATGCTCAAAAAACTGACCAAACTGAAATCATTTTGTCAATAAAAAAAATTGCTGAAAGACTGAAACATTTACTGAGTTAACTCAACAATTTCGCACTCATTTTTTGTAAATCAAAATTCAGAATACTTTTATAATTTTGAGAGCAAGCTTCACTTCACATATTACATGTAATATTCTTTCTTTAATTTTTTCGCTGCATTTTATTATCACATTGGTTGCTAAGGACAAACTGCACTTGAAACATATATATTTGACATTAAAATGCAAAAAAGGTGGATGTAAGTATAAAATCAGTAATATTTGAGAAACGGACTTATTCGAATGAGTTATAATTTATCAAAAGTTGAACTATGCAATCTTTTTTCGATCAGTCGCAATACAAGGTATTACAGTGTTTTGTAGAAGGCATTAGTTATAATAATTTATTTTTGGAGTATATTCTGAGTTGATATGCGAAAAACTTTTTGTTATTAAACGTTTCAAATAGTTTTTCTACTTTTTGTAATTGTAAACAGTAGCAGAAGTGCAAAAAAACTATTTATGCAATAACTTTCATTCAGCTTGCATATAATATATTCTCACACATAACTTTAAAGATAATAAGCACAAATTATTTGATTCCTGAGTAATTAATCATTGTAATTATTAACTTAATGACTGATTTATAAAAATAGTAATTAATAATTTCAGAAATGAATGCGAATACACAGTTAGAATGTCTAGCTTTTGAATGATATCAATTTTACTTTTAATGCCATGTAAGTAATACTTAATCATTTTTTCCACCTTAAAATTTCCAATTTTTAAATTATTCAGAAAGATGGTCCTGATTTACAAAGAAAAAAAAGAAACTAATAAAACGATCTTTCTAATGAGCTCATTAAAAGGAAAAGAATTATTTTCACTACGTAGAATGAATATTAAAAAAACAAATTGTTTTCATAATTTGCCTGCATTTACTTTTTTTTTATAGTAAACATATTTAAAGCATAGTTTTGTCTTATCATTTTTGTATTTTTGGTTAATACGCTAAATATGCAAAAATATTCTATACTTATGCTACATGCTAATGAATTATACTTTTAAGTGCTTGTTCGAGTAAGCATTCAAACACAATTTAAGTTATACTTGAAAGTTTTTTCTTGCATGAAATAAAAAACGATTTCTTTTACATCCAAATCATCCAGCTGATTATTTTTTGTTAACATTGGTTTAAAGTCAGCATTTCAGTCGCACATTAAATATCATCTACCATCTACAAATACTCTTGATTTATTCGAGGTAATAAAATTGCTTAACTAACAGCAGTTCGTTTGAAATGCAAACTAGCTAAAGTAAAAATCAAATTATTGAGGTGTAAACAAAATAAAATTATTGGTGTAAAAAAATTATCAAATTAGCAATATTTAAAATTTTGAATGTGAATAAACAAAAGGATTTGTAGTTGAATTTTTCCGTTTAGCTCGAATCTTTCTTCTATAATGTCAGCTTTCACACTTGACTTCAATTGTACTGTGCTAATTTTTATACACAAAATCATTCAGTGCAGTGAATTAGTTATTTTCACTTTGAAAGCACTTGCAAAAAACAAAAAATGAGGATATTTATTTATTTGCATTGTATTTGAATATTTTTATTTTCTATGCTGTGGTCAGTTTTGGATAAATTTTATTTATTATTAGTTTAAAAGTAAATTAATTATTGCACGATAAACGAAATGATGATATATTATTTTAATGCTTCTGACTGACTTAATGCTAAAATATTTCTTATTTATTGAAATAGAGGCAGTATTAACATAATTTACCAAATTTTTTGAGTAAGACTAGATCAGTTTACTTAATTTGATCAAAACAATTGCTACCCATTTGTGGTATTTGCCTTCAAAATACTAATTTTTCTATTTTGTTACTGCGCAATAAATCAAAATTTTTAAGTAAGTAAGAATTATCTAATTATTTTCATATTTTCGCTATACTTTCAACAAGTAAAAATCAATTATTATTAAAAAAGGAAGAAAGTGACATTTTCTAGCCGAATTGCAAATTATTTGAATTAGTGTTTCTTAGCAAAGTGTTGTTGTTAAATGAAACGCACATTTTCTTTACAGCTGCCATTAACTACTGCATGACATATTATCATACTTGTCTATTGTCAGTCTCTAATAAGTAAAGTTGTTATCAGTCACTTTAAAAAACAATAAATTTATTGTTTGCTATGCGAAAATGAGAATTATATAAAAATTATGCAGCACTCAGACACGCCAAACTTTCTTCGTCTCATTGTTATTACGTGAAAATAAGTAAGTCTAACTATTAACATTTTTTTGCTATTTGTAATAATACAGAACGATAATTACAATTCAAATCTTGCAGAACAAAAATTGTAAATTTTATTAATTAAAAATGGTTGCAGACTCTTCTTCGATACTTTGATTTTGTCCTTTGCTATTTATAAAAATTGTTTAATTAATGAAATAATGCATAAATTAATAAAAGTATTTTGCAGCCTTACAAATATGTTTGATGATCTCTTAAAAAATTTGTCGATCATGCATAATTTCATATGTTAAATAAATTGCATGGTTTTTAAAACTACACAAAAGTAATATTTCTATACTTTCTGATAAATTTGGAGCATTAGCCTATCAATATTAATGCTCAAGAAACTGAAGTCAAATTTATATTAGATAAAATTGGATGATTAATTTCTAGTCAGTATTGAAAATCGACTTGTTTAATTCCTAGGTGTGTCTTCCTTTTCTCTGTTACAATATTACTAAGCTCGTTGCTTTAGTACTCTGAAATTACTTTTTACGCTTACTTGAAATAAATTGTTGATACTTACAGGCTAAGGATTGCTGATAAGTGATAACGCGTGAACGAGCATTAATATGGGTAACTATCATAGTTGCCGCCATCAGCATAAAATCATTATTGATAGCAGTGATAACGATAGCAAAAGCCACTTCTCTTCATCGGCCGAAAATGAAGATGAAGTAAGTAGAGAAATTATTCACTCAATTTGTTTTCATGTACTCTTTCTTGCAGATATGAAAAAAGTTTGTTCGTACATTTTGTTGATAAAAGTCAAGCTTATCATCTTCGCATTGAATAACTGACCATTTCTAAAATGATTTTCATCAATATTCCTGAATACTAATCAATATTTTTCGAGAATCATTTTCTGCACTGAATTATTTTATTTTTTAAATAGCAAGCAATAGAATTTTTGTAAAATTGAAGAGCAAATTTTTTGAATTTAGAAGGAATTTTATTGCAAATTATTGCTCAAAAATCAGAAGCAATTATGCTTGAAAAACATAAATTAGTCAAACCTCTCTTAATATTTGATTGCAAATAGAACAAACAGGCGCTTATTATCCGCAATTATCATTATTGATGATAAGTATGAGAGCAAAGTGCTTCACTTTTCTTCACTTGCAATAAATGACATGATACCACAGCTCATCATCGTTTTAAGAGTACAGATGCCATTGATAATATATTTTTGTAGCCAGTTCAAAGATAAGAATAATAATCGTAATGATAACCATTACCAATGAAGTTGACAAAATGTAACCTGAAATCATAATTAATGAAATCCTAAATTACAGAATTACAAACAATATCAATTGCTACTATACATTACTTTTTTACGCATTATTATATGAAATTCATATTTTAAATTTATTTAGTTACAATGTGAATAGTCCATTTCCATAATATTTGTAGTTTTTAAATACTGAAATCATTTGTTAAATATCACCGAAAAATACAAAATATAACTTTGTAATAGTATAAAATGCTTTTGAAAATCTATGAGTTACTATATAATCCTTTGTTTTTTTTCCGATTTATGTTTTTGATATCTTTTCAGAAATATAATTTGAATCAATTGCCAATTACTGATAATCAGTTAAAGCAGAAAGATATTAACAGTTCGTTTTCCACAGTGTACAGAAAACCTGCTCTGAGAAATCAGCAGTCATTGGAATCTGCTATTCAGTGCTCTCCGGGACCAAGTTCCGAGAGACGAGTTAGCATTAGTCAATAAATTAATAATTTGATCAAACGATAAATGCTTTTGTTTTCTTCGTTAATACTATGATTGCACATTGTGAAAAAAAGAAATATTTTGATGAAGCTAATTTTATATCCTCGTACTTTTTTTAATTTTTCTCAAAATTCATTTCAAACTTAACTTTTTCAAAATAAAATTAGTACTTCCAAATATGTACATAAATGCTTTTTCCTCAAGCAAAGATCCGTTTTTAGCAGAAAATTAAAATATTTAGCTGAAATTTTCTAAACGAAGTAAAACAGTGACAAAAGAATATGAGAAGCAATTGAAATTTATCAGTTCAAATGGAAGTTTAACCATGCGAAGTTTTGATAATGGCGAGATATCAGATGTTGAAGTAAACATGAAGCCTCTGAACGACCGATCTCGATCTTTGTCACCTCTCAAACAACTGAAAACTTACTCATTCCGATCAACGCCTTCTGAAGAAGGCATTCTTTCTGATATTGTTAGTCATTCGTTTCTCAATTTACTGTCAATAATTTTTATCAAAAAGCAATTAATTCATTATTTTTAATATCTTTGCTTATTACTTAATAATTTTAATTTTACTATAATTTGTTCAAAAGAATATATATTATTGATTGGTTGCAAATAAAAGCTGACTTATTTTTTAAAGCATTTATTATACATACTGAATTGAAAATTAAAAATAATTCAGTAATTTTTACGGATGCAAAATCAATTAGCTTTTATCAGTATTAATTTTGTCTAATATTATTTTGATGATCAAATTTTTTATCACGTTATAGTTTGTTAATAAATCTTTATAAAGTTTAATGCTATACAAAACTTTTTATTTTGTGCAGAGCAATTTTTATCAAAAATTGTGATTTGGTATTTTAAATTAATTTCTTTAAATTAATTAATCTTCAGCAACAAGAAATGATTCGAAATTCTTGGCAAACAATAGTGACAAAGTTAGAATCTAGCCAGAGTTTTGGATATTTTGTTTTTCAACGGGTTTTTGAACGAAACTCTTTACTTAAGAAAGCTTTCCACGTGGAAGAATATAAATCTTTCGAGTCTGTTCCTGAAGAACACTCAATCTTTCGTCAAATGCGACTATTTACCAATGTGATCTCACTTGCGGTTTGATTTTAAACTCCTTCTGCACCATTTTGTTTCATTCCAGTCTAACCATTAATTTATCTTCAAAGCTAAACATAAAAAAGTATACAAAATAGCATGAAAATATAACAACAACTCTGTCAAATTATGAACAAAAATTTTTTTAATATTCGAATATAATTTGCATATTGACTAATAATTGTTAACAACAGTTTATAGGTGCGTAATGTAAGCGAACTTGAAATGCAAATCGCTCCAGCATTATTTTCCTATGGGCAACGCCATTACGGAGTTGCAGTAAGGATTATTCCTTTTACAGAGTCTAACCAAAGAAATTTGAATTGTCTTCTGAAATTGCTGAGTATTTTAAAGTATTGTGAGAGTTATAATTATTTTTACAAGTAATGAAGAATTTTAAGCATTTCTTTTGCTGAAATAATGGTTAAAAAGCTGTGATATTTTACAGAGAGATTATTTCAACGAAGAAACAGTACGATTATTTTGTAGCCAAGTGGTTTGTACAGTAGCTGATATTTTAGAAACTGAGTTTGAGCCAGCATGCATGGAAGCGTGGATTGAAATGATGCGTTTTATTGGAACTAAGTTACTGGATGGTTTTGATTATGTACGATTATCACAAAATAAAAAAATTTTACTCAATACTAACGATCACGTTTTTTATGTATTGTAATTGTGTACATTATTGCTTCCAAAATATACAAAAAATCAGTAATTTGCATTTCAAACATAATTAGAGCTAAAAAAAAGTACCTTGTTAGAGTATAATATTGAGCAAAAAAAAGAAAATTTTATGACGTTAAAGAAACTTTTGAAATAATTGAACTACTTGTTACTTTACCGGATGGACTTGAATTTTAAAAAACTTTAAATTTCAAAGTTTTTTTCTAACCTTTTCTGTGACTAATTGGAACTATGTAAGACATCTATTTTAGTGATAATTAATTTTTAAAATGTGTAATGGTTTTATTTAAGTATTCTCAGCAATATAAATCCATTTAACAATTTAAGCAATGAACGAATTTCCAGTACATCATTTACCTCACAATATTTTGTATTTTCATTGCTGCATTTTTGTGTTATTTAATTTGATGTACTTTGTATAAATTAATCTTCACTAATAACGAAAAATTTCTGAACAGCTTTACATTCGAGCAGTAAATGATTGCTTTTTGCAAAGAACTTATATTGAAAAATTAGGTGAACTAATTGAGTTTATGTAATTGCAAACGTGTAATTAGTAACGGAGTTCATGCAATAGTTATTTTGCATCAAAACGGTGGAAAAACTCTTAGCAATGAGCAGAATCAGTGCAACTTTTTGTTTCAATTTGTTTCATCTCAAAACTGAGTACAACTTTAAATTACTAACTGAAAATTTGTTGGATGACTAATAACTGACATTTTGGATGCGTGTAACATTGCTTGCCTTTCACGAATACTTTAATTAATTTCACGCTTCTTACTACTTATTTGTGAAAGATAAAAGTTATACAACGAAGTTTACACTCATTATTTTTTGTCTTAAATTTGTGAGCTATAAGAAAATGAAGATGGAGCTAATGTGCGCTATAGTAGAAAGACAAATACTGCGTTTCATTACTGAGAATTCTTAGTTATGGATATATAACTCTCTACACTTTACTTTAATAATTTGATGCATTGCAATAAAGATTTCAAACTTTAATGCTATCAACTAAATATTAATTTACACAAAATATGGATATTTACCAGTTACTGCTAAATTTATTGCCCAATGTAATTTCGTTTTGTTTCTTGTCAGAGAGATTTTTCACAAACTGTTGACTTATTTTTGGATAAATATTCCTCATAATTTGGTTATAGAATTATAGACACAAAAGCTCAAGACTTCAGAGATAACTGCTAAATAAATCTTATCGTCAGAATAATTGGCAAATAAAGTCTTATCTTCAGCGTAGCATCAAGAAAGCTGGCATTTCTTGAAAAGAATTTGTTGCATAGAGGGGCAAGAGGATCATCGTGAATTTGAGATGCTTAGATGCATTGTTGCTTTTTTGAAGTTGATATTCTAGATTGGTAGGTTCGTTTCTTGGACGAGGTTGGGACTAATTATTCGTGTTCGAAGGGGAGTTAAAAGTTAGTCAGCTACTATTCGTTACAATATAAACTTTTGGGGTTACGGTCTTTTTATTGTATGTAGTGAATACTGAACTTTGAATAACAAATTAGGTTTATTTAACATTAAGATAGAAGATGTCATTATAATTGTTATTATTGTTTGTGAGCAGAAAATGAAATTTGTCCTTCGAGTGATTTCAGAAGAATTGATTGAAACTGTTATGAGTAATGTAGGCATATTTTAACTTTAGAATCTTTCTGTAATAGATCAGTTGAAATTTAGGATTTTGATTACAATCAATTTTTCATTTAGCTAAAAATCATAGTTACTTTTTTGGAAAAAAATGACAATACCAGGTCTTTAATTTTCTTTTGAAAAGGATAAATCGTATGCTTGCGTTAGATTACGTGTTTTAAGTATCTCTGCTTTGCTTTATAGAATTTAAGGCATTTTTCAGCCGAATGAATCATTTTCAGACAC